GTGCCCTTCTTTGGCAAGGTAATTATTCAGGGTGAATTATATCAAAGAGAGCCCAAAATCCCAATACTGTATTTCTGAGGCAGATATTGATATTTAATAAAAATGTACTGGCTGATATTAATTCCTTAACATAAAGATAGCACAGTACAATACAGATCCCATAAATTTAGTTATTAAACTATTGTGACCAAAATATTTGTTAAAAAATAATGATTTTTCAATGATATCTGGTGCCAAAATGAGATGGTGGCCCTTTTTTCTACATTAACTAGAATATATCTTTGAGATTTTTGTCTTGTTAGTCATCAACTGACCTCTATACAGTACCCATTGATCTGTGATAAGCTTGAATAAATCGATTATATTGTTGTCTAATTACTATTTATAGATACTGATTTTATCTGACATATTATGAATCATATTTATGTCTTTTATAACATTAATAATAATTTGTTTACATGTCCCAGGCTCATATAGCATACCTCCCAAACAAGAAAGTGGTTGGCCTTAGCAAGCTTGCAAGGTAGGTGACACACACACACACACACCTACACACACACATAAACACACGCACACAGTATAACCCACTTCATTTTTTCTTTTTCAGAATTGTTGAGATCTACAGCAGGAGGCTTCAAGGTAAAATAACTGCTATAATAATGTTTACTCTTTTTCATAATGTTATTTTTCCTTTATGTTCCTGTGTGTCATTTTATGCGTTACTTTCTCCACAGTTCAAGAACGTCTAACCAAACAGATTGCTTCAGCCATCTCTGAGGCGTTGGAGCCTGCTGGAGTAGCAGTGGTGATTGAGGCTGTGTGAGTATTCAGCTTGTATTTCATCCACATTAGACTTGGTTCAAAGGTTTTGCAAAAAGCTATTAGAGCTTGCTTTTTTCTTAAATTGCTGTAAGTTAAAGTATTTAACTTTACTACTCATCACTACTACTGATATTGTCATGTACATTCACAAGCAAGATGCCAAAAGATGGTGATACTAAGATGACAGTTTGGACAGCAACATAAATTTAACTTCCATTCCTGATATCTATTGGATTCTGTGCAAAGCATGAACTTACTCTTTGGAGATTTATAGTAATTGAAAATCCTTTGTGTATTTCAGCCACATGTGCATGGTGATGAGAGGTGTGCAGAAGATGAACGCCAGTACTGTTACAAGTGTCATGCTGGGAAGCTTTCATGATGATCCCAAGGCCAGGAAGGAGTTTCTTGCACTTGCAATGAAGAAGTGAACAGTAAATCATTTGTGTATCTCTGCCAGTTTTAATTTCTAGTGAATAACCGTCTATCATGGTGTTTGGTGCCGACCCTTCTCGAGCTGATATTTTTCTATTTATGTATTTATCTTGTTTAAATGTCACATATGAGAAATGTCTCACCAAACATACATTTGGATTGTGAACTCACATCGAGGTAAATTAACAGCTGCTGCTAATATTTAATTAATGCAATATTAATGCAATGGTTACATGCTTTGAGTACAATTTCCAATGCAAATTTATATTGAAAATAAACATAAAGCTATTCTTATTTTTTGTCTATGCTCATCCTTACTCTGTTTTAAAAGGACAATCATTGTTATTCTAGATGCTATTGGATGCTTCATGCTGTCACGCAGTCATACAATGATAGAAGTGGTAAAAATAAACATGATCCTGTGCATTGTACTGTGATCCCACAGTATAATTTATTAATTTACCATCACAAGAATCACACATTATCATATTTAATTATGGATCAACACTTAAAACCACAACAACACCCATTTTAAAAATGTAAAGAACGTCTGCACTGCATCTGTCGCCTGACATATAACGGGCAGATTTTGGTAAGATTCACTGGTGCATAATTTGTGTTATTCTCTACCGTATTCAATCTTTACATTTGGTTTCTTATCCCTGCACTGACATTTATGCTGAGAAATTCACAATATCACTAGCACTATAGAATTTTGATACGCAAGATAACAGATTTAAACATTATCTAACATTATCCCTTTAATAATGTTTTGGTGATTCTGGATACAGGAGAAAGAGGTCTGTAAGCTGTTGAGGGGTATACACACTGGACCTTTCAGTTGTTGCTTATTAATGTCTCAATAATTACATAATGGATAAGTAAATTCAACAGTGTCAATAAGCCTTCCATACAAGTTCATCTACAATGGAAATACAGTACAAACCATTCTAACTATTACTGACAAAAGTCAGAGAAAACACGAATCCACCCGATCTACACCTAACAACATACAAGATGAGTACATATTTAGGAAATACATGCATTTTATCATGCCTGATTCCATGCATGAACATATATAATGCATCAAAATTTGTCAATGTGTTTAAAAAATGTACAAACAGAGAATTAGAAGATAAAAACATGAAGAGGAACATGTAAAATAGCATGCATGAGCAGAGGAATAAACAGCATGAATTCTTTTTTCATCATCGCAATTTGTTTAATTTTTAATGCAGAGACCTAGATTATTACAGAAGAACCTCTAAGAACAAGACCACTACTAATGGGCTGTTTTAATGAGCTAAATGTCACCTAAATAACAAAAAAAACCCCAATAAACTGTATGTTCTACAATGCAGCCAAATCACTACACACATCTGTATTATGACATAACATCATATCATCATCATAACAGCTTTTATTTTTTACTGTGTACCT